TGATCCGGGACAGATTACACAATATGTTACACTGGTGGCAAAAACGAGCTGCAGCTGACTAACATACCTACCTGCAGCAGATGTGTGTTTGATAGGGTGAATGTTAGAGTGTGTATTTGTTTCAAGAGCAAGCACATCCTCTCCTCTAACTTTTTAAAGTCAGACTTTTTGGGTGTTTCTGTTTGTCTCAGGGAGCGTTTCTGTCCAGAGACTGCCGCCCATTCCCCCGTCAATCTGTCTGTCGCTGCGTCGGGGGATGGTAATCCATTCTCCCCATATGCAGATACTGGCGGTGAGATTAGGCAGACCCTGAGAGAGGATTAAGGCTTCAGGGCTTGGCTGCCCCTTCTATCTTACCTCCTCTCTAACCATACAACCCCCCCGTAATACCACCCCTCCACCCACTTTGCTCTTCAATCCCTCTTCCACTCCTCACCCTTCTCTCTTTTGTCCCCTGGGCAAATATCCAATCTGGAGAGTGTACTAGCTGTGAAGAGGTGGAAGGGAGATTCAGATAAAAACCCATTTAATTTCTGCACATTTGTGTCATGATTTGCACTTAAAATATTGGATCGTTCTTTGTGTTCTGTGGCTGTATTTAAACGAAGTTATATCTTGGCATATATGCCTTTATTTGATAGTAATACTGGAGCCAGATGGGAAATGTGGGGGTGATAGAGGAACTTGAGTTCAACAAAAGTCAGGCCAGGTTGAGAGTTAAACATGGACGGTGCAGTTATGTACAACAGGGATGGTTTTGGTTTTTTATTTTTATTTTTTTTTTGTGTACCTACAGATAAAATTGTAGTTTTTCCTGCTGCACCACCTTGTTTTCAGCCACCTGTGTTTACGCTGTGATTGGTCTACAGTAACTGACTTTGTGCACGAGTCTTGAGAATTTGCAATAATTTTTAGAGCTTTGCATTTTATTTGCTCACACGCATTTCCGGCCTTACTTATAATTTCCTGGCTTCTTAAATCCTCGATTATACCCACTTCCTCTTCGTCTGGTCCCAGACTTGACCCATATGTTGTGACAAGCCACAGAGGGCAAAAAATATGTCTGAATGCTGCTCTTCTTTCTTCTCTCACCACCTTCTCTTCCTCTCTCCCCCCTCCATTGTAGAGTGCTGTAATTGATATGCCACTGGCAATAAATCAGCACAAAGTTACGCTCTGAGCGGCGACCATTATCTGAACGGACAGGTTTAGTTGCTTTGGAGAAGAAGGTGAGAGAGCAAGTTATACAGTTTAGCTCACAAGAGTCACCTGCCGCTTCACCAGCATTTGGGATTACCTCTCCACCTTTGCCTCTTTAAAATGGGGGTCCTTGCTTTATAATCTTTTTGTTTTTCTTCCCCTCAGTCCTATTTCCAGTGCCCATAGGGATGCAGTACAGGCCTGTCGATTGATAGGACATTTCAATATCAAATCCAATAAACTCTGTCCCTTACAGCCAGCCGTCTTTAATGCTTTTCCCTGATGTGATAACACCTTCCCTGCCCCCGATATGGTGACTGCCCATTCCCAAAGCCACAGACGTGCTCCACACCAAAATGATTGACATGTTTTTCCTTGATGGTTCCAGATATGGCTCCCGACCTTCTCCCAGCACTCTTCCGCCCATTTCAGTTTAGCTCTGGAGGAAATTGAAATTGATGAGGGTTTGGAAGAATAAATAGAGAGGGGAAAAAAACTGAGAAATTTGAAGGGGCGTGGGGGCATGTGTGAGAAGTTGAGCGAATAACTCAACAGTTGGGCGTGTCTGCCCTGACAGTAAAGAGAGGAACTAAAGGTGTCTATAAGTAGACGGAGGCCTTCACGCCATGATGTCTTTTCACTAACCTGTAGTTGTTGATGTGTTTTGTGATGTCATTGTCTTATTGCCCTGATAGATAACAAGCAGCAGCAGACCCTAGATGCAATTTGTTGTGTGATTCACACTCTCCTACATCAAGCTGTGGCTGGTCTAAATGAAGAGGAATTACTGCAGGGACACTTTTTTTTTTTTTTTTCTCCCCCCCCCCCAGCTTCCCTCTCGTTCTCTATCAGCCACTCTCATTTGCTCGTTCGCCCAGTCTGCCCCATTGTGTCTTTGCCTCACTTGGAAATGACAAAGGAAAATGAGGCAGCCGGCTTCCCTATGCGCTGCCACGCTTTAAATTGACATCTGCTCTCATCGTACGGCGCGACTGTACCGTTGAGCAAGAAATTAGTTTTTTTTTATAGGCTGGCTCGTCACTTTATTGCGGCTGCTTATGTCGAAGAGGCTGCGATCCGCGTCGAGCAGTTTTAATCTCACAGAGTGGAAAGTGGGGATATATCTGATAACTGCAGCTCAGGCCCTCCTCTCTGCAGTTTCCTTGCCGAGGTGCCTCGACCCACAGGGCTCCCTGGTGTTTGATTCTCGCGAAGGTAGATTAAAATGCAGCAGAAGTGCACCTTTTTGATTGGCTCCTGACTCACTCTCCTTCTTTTTGCCCATACAGTATCCTCTTCGCTCTCTCTCTGTCACGTTCTCTCTTTTTCTCTTTCTCTCCTTGTCCCCCCCCTTCCTATACATTTGTCTTTTCCTGGGCTTTTCATTTGTAGAAAATTGGATGACACCACCTCTCCCTGAACCTGGCTAGCTTTGTGTCAGTTGAGCTATCGTTTGCTATTCCATGAACATCACCACTACTATTTCTCTTCTCTCCTGCTTTCCCTCATTCTCTTTTTTTTCTTTCTCACACACAGTTTGCAGCACCAGTGACTAAAATTTATGAGCAATTCAATGACTACTCTTACTGAGGTGTTTTAATTCTTTCAAGATTCGTAAGAGTGCATTTTTTTTCCCTCAGAGGGGTTTACACACCTATAATCTGTCACTCATACCTGCCTTTCTCAAGGATGGAAATATCGAAAAAAGGAACAAGCTGACAGTCATCTCTCTCAGCCTGGCAGGCAGAGCTCCCTGCCCTGTATATCCACACTAATAAGTAAAAAGAACTACAGCTTTTGCTACACAATCAAGAGCAATCACGTAAATTCAGATGTTTTAGCACCATGATAATGGAGACTTTCTCAGGTGCTGCTAAGCCAGTTTTGGTTTTTAAAAAAATCCAGGTTGTGTATCAGAAACAGTCTTGTGGTATCAAAGGTTCAGCTGTTTGTGCCTAATTAGGGGCAAAAATAAGCTTAATAGTAAGCTATTACAAGTGGACTGGCGCATATGTGCTGCTTCAGTGCTCTTTACTACCAGCCACATTCCTACACTCTGGTGAGAACCTGAGACCAGAATTTTCTTCTTCATACCTCCATCTGCCTCCTCGTTTGATTCGTCATCTGTTTCATGTTTTTGCCTCATCCCCCTATCCCCATCTTTTAACCCTGCTTGTCTCACTGTAGTGTCTCATCTTTTCCGATTTGGTATGGTCATAAAACACCTTTGGCACAGACGCTTTGATAGTCAAGGTGAAACTGAAGCGTGGGATCCCTGGGAGAGTTGTCTCCTGTTTTACATAATCAGCATTTACAGAAGAACTAATGTCCTGGTGCTGCAGGAACATGATTGGCCTGTCAGCCGCCAGCACGCGCCCAGCAAACACCGCTCCTCATCACTGTATTGTCATTGTAGGACACCCAAAAGAGCATGCCCTCTCCATTTTTGACTCCTCTCCTTCTCCTCCTCCTTGTCCTTTACCTATAAAAATTCCATCCCTATAAATGATCTCACTCCCTCCTTTTTAATGTCTGTTCTCTGTTGAGTGTGCATATAGCACATTGCATTCTGGGATTCATTATATGTGTGCATTATGAAATGAAATAAATGCCAGAATTGGCTGGCTTGAGGGAGCAGTGATGAAGGAAGCAGTGTGTAAAAGAAAAATACAAACATTGACTGTGCTGTGACTTTGTAGGCATATTGCCACATGTACTGGTGATAAAATGAGTATATCATGAACACTAGATACAATTTTGAAATTGAATCACATACTAAAATGTTCAAGTATTCATTAACCAGATGCAATTTTCACCGTGGTCTTCAACTTAGCCTCATCTTGAAAGGATGAACTCTAGCCCTCGGTGTTGTATGTATATGTAGTATATGTATGTAGATGTATTGCGTTGAGAAGTTGAGCTTTTGGCGGGGGGGAAAAGAAATCTTGTTCTGCAGTCTTCAGTGGGACTCATACATCTTTCTGAAATTGGTTCTAATTACATTGTAGGGTAAATGAATAACATGCATGTTTTAAGGGTCCTCGCTGTGATTGCTGCCTGACCGGGGCACGGTTGGCTCTGGAGGAGTGTTGGAATGCAGTGGATCGGGCCCTTTATAAGCAATCAGTGAATGCTTGCAAGAATTTTCCTGTACGTGCAGCATATGTATCAGCCAATGGTTTTCATAGTGCCCTATGGCTATGTTATATTTATCCTGATATCTAAGGGATATATACTGCAATCATAGCTCTTTCGGAGGAAGCAGAGTTGTGGTTGCCTGCTGTGCTTCCATGAAAGCCTGGTGCTTGTTTACAGTTGTCAGAAGTGCAGGTATAGTTACAATCAGACTGGGTTGAAACTGGGGAGAGCATGACAGTAAAGCCTTCAAGCAGTCCTGGCTATAAATTGCTTGCTGTCAATGTAACAGTGCCCACTGGCCCTTTTTCAAGAGCACACCTCCTCCGAAGCCACCACAGTAACACTGAAAGATATGAAATATTAAGGAGTTCAATGCTGTGAGTCTATAACTCATTCACAGGCTTATATTATGTGTACAGAGCCTTTAATAGTTGGCCTATGCTTTCCCTGCATCTTCACTCATAATTAAATGCAGACACACATTTGCCTTCCAGACTTGATTTGATATCATTTATTTATAACTAGGGCAAATGTCAGCTTGGCTTTTTTTTTCCTTCTAATTTTGGATGTGCAATTTGTGGGCCTTACTGCCTCCTTGATGCATAATCAATAAGAAATTTTCCTTGAGCACTCAAGGTGTTTTTTCTCTTTTTACCTTCCAGGGCTCCCACATCGTGGCTCTGTGGATGTTCCTGGTGACTGCTCACAACGCTGAGAACAGGACAGCGGATCAATAGGAGTTTTGCTTCCTCTTCTCTGATCCTTCTCTCTCTCCCTCCCTCTTAATCTTTGACAGTAGAACCGAAACTATCAAAAAAAAAAAATCCTGACTCGGGATTTGGAACCACAGCTTGCGCTCTCTTTCTCCTTCCCTACCCCCCTCCCAAGCCTTGCTTGTGCACATACCAAATATGTGTCACCTAGCTCGGTCAGTGGCCTCCTCTGGCCAGGGGAACTTTCTCCTCATAGGGCTTTTAGTCATCATGAGCTCATCCTTGTCTGGAGGCCAGCCCCCGCCCTTCAAAAGATTCATCCCAGCTGATTGTTCGCTCACACATCTGGCTATTCATAACAAAACTGGAGAAGTCTATGTGGGAGCTGTTAACCGGATTTTCAAGCTTTCCAGAAACCTGACCAATCTGCGCAGCCACATGACTGGCCCAGTGGTGGACAATGAGAAGTGCTACCCACCTCCCAGTGTCCAGTCTTGCAATCATGAGCTGGCCCAAACCCCGAATGTGAACAAGCTTCTTCTTATAGACTATGCACAAAACCGACTTATCGCCTGTGGCAGCACCTCACAGGGTATCTGTCAGTTCCTGCGTCTGGATGACCTCTTTAAGCTTGGTGAGCCCCACCACCGCAAGGAGCATTACCTCTCGAGTGTGGCAGAGTCGGGTACCATGTCAGGAGTCATCATAAGCTCCCCTCAAAGTCCTACCAGCAAGCTTTTTATTGGAACTCCCATCGACGGCAAGTCTGAGTACTTCCCCACCTTGTCCAGCCGAAAACTGATGGAGAATGAAGAAAATGCTGACATGTTCAGTTTCGTCTATCAGGATGAGTTTGTCTCTTCTCAGCTGAAGATCCCCTCGGACACTTTATCCAAGTTCCCTGCTTTTGACATCTATTATGTTTACAGCTTCAGCAGTGAGCAGTTTGTCTATTATCTAACAATGCAGTTGGATACTCAACTGACTTCACCTGATGCCAGCGGGGAGCAGTTCTTCACCTCCAAAATTGTGCGTCTCTGCATGGATGATCCAAAGTTTTACTCTTACGTTGAGTTCCCCATTGGCTGCACTAAAGATGGGGTGGAGTACCGCCTGGTGCAGGACGCCTTCTTGGCTCGACCGGGCCGGCAGCTGGCCAACTCTCTTGGGATTTCCGAAAATGAAGACATCCTTTTCACAGTATTCTCTCAGGGTCAGAAGAATCGCGCCAAACCACCCAAAGAGTCAGCATTGTGCCTGTTCACCCTTAGGAAGATAAAAAAAAAGATCAAAGAGAGGATCCAGTCCTGCTACAGGGGAGATGGAAAACTCTCCCTACCCTGGCTGCTTAACAAGGAGCTCGCCTGTATCAACTCGGTAAGCTCAAATCTTTTTTGTTACTCCTGCTTTTAGTTAGTAGTAAGCGATTTTGTAAGTTTAATTTTTTGTCACAACACACATATGTTTGTACTATAAGACTTCCTTGCTTGGATACAACCTCTTCTTATGAATTTGTAATAAAAGAACTATTAGAGCATATGCTTTTCATTCAGACAAAACACATTTTAATGCCACTAGTTGAATGCAGACTACCTGTGCTACATCACCAATGTAGACTGCTGCTATATGCCTGCACTTAGACTATTTCATACTTTATGCCATTTATAATTTCTTTCTCCTGCTGCCTTTCTTTTCACTTCTCTATGCATTTTTCTTTACTCCACAACATCTTGGTGCTTTGATTTAACCAGACAGGGGACATCATTAGCCCAGTCCCCTGGATTTGTGAAATGTCACTCAGGAGGAGCCCTCACGCTCTCACACACATACACACAGTATTGTTCGGTGCACTGCAGTGTGAGATCCTGTGGGATAGCATGAGTTAGACTTGGTTTTTATTTACTGATCCACAGTGCATGACCCTGCATGTATTACAGCCAACACACTCCAAATAGACAGACATAGCCTGGCTTTCTTCATTGTGAACATGTGTACCTGCTAACATCCTTTGTATTTTCTGAAAATATTCATGGATCTTTTCACCATTTCCCCTTTACCCAAAACTTTTGCCCAAATTGTGTTTTGTTTTTTTTTTGTTTTTTTTTTGGGGGGGGGGGGGGGGGGGGGGGGTGTCTCTGTCTTAGCTGACCACCTGTCTCAGCGTCCACATCTTACATCCTATGTCTGCTTTAAAAGCACCCATGCATTTCCTCCACCTTGCTCTTTCTTAAGATAGCTTAATTAAAGGACCCGTTTTAAAGCTTTTTTCTTTAAATGTCAGTGAACACCACTTTAGCGGCAGGTGTCTTCCATTTACACAACCACACACACACACACACACACAAACCATTCACCCAGTGTTGCGTCTAATGGAGTGGGATAGTTGGTAAGAACAGCACTCTTTCTCTTTGTAGGTCTTCATTAGCTTGAGTGCGCAGGAGTGTTTTGTGTGGTAGTATAAGTGATGTGAATGACCCAGCCAAGTCCTCTTTTACCACCTTCTGTAGATGTATTCTTTTTCCTGTTCAGTGGCTGTCTTCATTCTTTACGGTTCTTTTCATTCTTAGGGCCCATCACACTGACAATAGCTCTAGGGCCAAAAAAGCAGCCTATCTCATTTATTTCAATTAGACCTTTGCACTGGTACTGCAGGAGCTACTGGTGCAGAGTGCTGCAAAGAGTTTGACTTTACCATTTATGGGGTGCAGTGCATCTGGTAACTCACTGTGAAGCCCAGTCAAATACTATATGTGCAAGTTTGCGTTACCAGGTAGATAACTTTGTTGCATTGTGCTGATAAGCTTAATGCTGTCATGATAACTCCTACCCAACCTCGGCAGAGTCTAAACTGCTGTAGATTGTTGGCTTTGACTTCAAAATAGATTTCCAGCCTAACACAGTTTTACCAAGACCGCTTCCCTTGTTACATCAGGAGCACAGGTGTGTCCAATAACATTAATTATGGTTTTCATTTAAGTGTCCCAATAAATCATACTGGGAAGCCAGTGTACACCATATCAAGGCTCTATTTTAATGGAATGCAGCTGTTATTAATCAGTTGCACCTACGCATTTCCTGCTATGACACAATAGTGCTGTTGACAGTTTGAAACTGTCTCCCCCCCCCCTTTTTTTCTCCATTTTGCAATTTGTATTGATTTTTTTTTTCCTCTCAAAGAACATCCCACCAAGGATTCTTCAGACCTAATACTGCTACAATCTTCACTTTAATGCCAGCGATTCCTTCATCAAATCACACATTCATGCTCTGTTAATAACACTGTTCCTGCCCCTTCTCTTTGCTTCCCACACCGTTTCTGTTGCAGCCATTGTTACAGGAGCTTTGGTAATCTTACATCTGCCGTTAATTTATCATCTCAAAAACTGTTGTCCCTTACAAGTTGTCATCAGTGATGATGATGATGATGTAATAGCTTCACAGATAAGCCGACCCACTGACCCTGTGGCAGCAGCAAAGCATGAGAGGTTAGACCCAGGTTAATGATGTAGGCGAAGTTTCCCCTAAGCACTGACCTTGTGTCAGCTGCCCACCACTGACCTTAACCGCCACCAGTGACCTGACCAATCTCAAATCTGAGACTATTTTTTTCAGCCTTGAAGCTAGAGCATTGCATAAATGATTAAACATGACAAGCACAGAACTCAGTTAGACAGAATAATAATAATAACAGATGATTTGTATGTACTTAAATGCCTCAGATGTCACAGTGGTGCAGTGTTTAGGCCTGTTGTTAGGAGTAGGGTTTGAACCTTTTGGGGGCCTTAATGTGAAGTTTAAAGGCCTGTGTGGGCTACTCGAAAGGCTTCTTCACACAGTCTAAAGACATAATTGGCTATAGGTTAGGAGTGTGAGAAACATAGTTTAAAGTGCACAGAAGACAGTGCTGCATGAATTAATGAATAGCTCATTATTTAAAGCATTTGAATGGTCCGTAACACTTGAAAAATGATAAATGCTAACCAGTGAAACTCAATACATTCACGTAGGACACAGACCTTCAAAGTAAAACAGGAAATGTAACATAGACGCAGACTTGACTAGGGGAGACGGAGCAACTAAGAAACACAGAGAACGATAACAGGGAGACACAGAGGGCGGCTAAGTAAATACTCAGAAAACTAAAGAGAATACAAGAAAGCCAAACTAAGACACTAGACTAAAGAATTAACTGGGACCCGGCGGCGACGGGGAAACAGTCCTGGGGGCTGACCGTACGGGCGGCAGTGACGTCCAGCTGGTGGCCCGGAAAGTGGCCGGCGATTCCAAGGTGCAGAACGTGGCTTGGGTGGCGGTGTGGCAGCCGCAGGACCAGGTGAGGTCGACGCAGAAGCAGAGGAGGCTGCTTCAGGCGAAGCTGAAACTGGACCAGGCGAGGCTGAAGCTGACCCAGGACCGTGACAATTATAATGTTTGTGCAAGTGCAGTTTGTTTTCTGCTACTATCAGAATGATATGTGTACATGCACAAGTCAGTGCAGTGTGTATAGTTCAATCAGGGGCAAAAATCTCTGTATGTTTGTGCAGTTGGTTAGTAATTAAAACACAGGCATGCAGAATTAGGTGATTAACACTTTTAAATTGTCAATCTCTCACTCTACATATCCACACACATTCTCGTAAGATACTGAAGTTTGGTACTGAGCCCCACCCTGAATTTCAGCTGCTTCAGGAATTCGAATGCAGTCTGTGTAGTGTGGGAAATGCTCAGTGATGTGGGTGTGAAGGGTGAATGCGTTTAGGCTGACCCTTCCATAGAGTAGTTTAGAGGGCAAAGCGTGGTTGATGGTGGGGTGTGCGGTATGCCTGGACAGCTGTTGGCCACACAGCCGTAATGCATGACCAGACGCTGTGTGAAATTTTCAGATTTGTGCTGGATCGTAATTTCTTGCCTTCGGCCATCATTAAGATGATATGTTTATAGTCACAGTGAGATAGCTGTTTTCTGTAAACATAAATGTTTGAGCGTATTAGAAGCAGCTCTGTGATAAAAGATTTGTGTGTGCGTGCAAGAGTAAGATTGTTTATGTGCCTGTGTTTTGTCCCTGAGCTTTATTATTGAACCCCTGACCTTCTCCCTAGTTTGAGAGTGGATCAATACAAACCATTTCCACAGGAGGAGAGTGAGATGGAGAGAGAGAGTTGCTAAGTTAGGGTTGAGAGGGAGATGACTACAAAAATAGGAAAGATAAAAAGTGTAGTCAGAAGAGAGGAGAAACAGGAGAGAGGCACAGTATAGAAGTGAGTGCAAGGAGGGGTGAGTGAGTTGTGGGAATTAGACGAGAGAGAGGGGCAGCAGGAACAAGAGATGGATGAGAGAGAGAGGGAAAGAAAGGTGCTAGACGTGGGCGGCGTTAAAAATGAAAGAACACGAGGGAGTCTGATCCAGAGGAAGAGTTGGATGCCAAAGCAACATACAGGAGAGAGTATAGGAAGTTAAGAACGGTGCTAAGAAGATGAAAAAGACAGCAAAATAGCAAAGTGAGCCAAGGTAGAGACTTGAAGGGAGTGAAAACCGGAGTGAAAAGCATTCGTATACCTTTTCCAAAATTCAGGAACATTTACAAAGTCTGTTTTGTTTACAAATGTATTATATCCAGGCAGTAGTTCAGATGTGTGATTTTGGGTCTTTACGTGTACACCAATTGAATTGTTAAAAGCAAAACCCAATGAATGAGCTACAGGCAAGATGAAAAATGACGCTGTGCTCTTTCTTTTTTTCTTTTTTTTTTCTTTTTGAAGATGAGGACTTTGATGTTGAGCCATGTTTTGCGTTGCAATCATGGCTGACTAACTTGTAGGTGTAACTTGTAGCCGCCTAAATATGACACATGTGTGAAAGGCAGGGACAAAAAGAGAATATTATCAGAGAATGGATTAAAAAGACAAAATGGTATGTAGAGCTGGTAAGGAAGGACGAGGAACGATCAAGGAGAGAGCAGCAAGCCTTTTACAGCCAGCATGCTCGAAGGAGAGGCAGTGAATCACCGACAGAGAGAAGAGAAGGGTGAGAGGAAGAGTGATAGCCCCAGAAATCTTTTCACCGCCACTGCCAAGAACAGCTTGAGAAAAGAGTAGATGACTGAAAGAGGGGAGAAAGATGGAAGGAAGAGAGGAGAGTGTGATTGAATGCTGGCTGCTGCACAAATAATATCGGTGTCCGTCACCTGGGCACTGCACTGTCCTCTTCAGCGGCACACATTTCTGTCATGTCAACTCTGTGTGTGTTGTGGCACATCTGTCCATGTGTATGTCTAGTAGGTGGTGCTATACAATGAGGACAGAGGAGCACAAGAAGACTCTTGGTATGTGAAATATTACAGAAATTAAAGAGGTGCACTTTAGGTAGAGGAAGTTGGG